CATACAAGCAATGTATAAAGTATATATATATTTATAGATATAGATTATATATATATATATATATACACATATAAGTAATTTATATAGTATATATGTATATTATAGATATAGTATATATAATATATATAAGCTATATAATTTACAAGAAATTGTCTTAGATAAAAAAAATTTAAAAAAAAGTCAGGCCCACATATATATATAAATGTATGTATATATATACATATATATATATATATATACACACACATACATATAAGCAATGTATAAAGCATATATATATTTATAGATATAGATTATATATAATATTATATATAAGCTATATAATTAAAAATAGTCAAGGCCCACTTAGGCTCGTTTAGGACCGGGCCCGGCCCACTTAGGCTCGTTTAGGACCGGGCCCGGCACACATAGCCCGGGACCATTAGTTCGTGGTCCTGGTCTGGTTACACCCAAAAGCCCACGAAGCCCGGGACCGTTTAAGTCTGGCCCACTAAGAACCGGATCGTTTAGGCTCAGCCCGCGAGGCATGTTTAGGACAGGGACCGAACCGTTTGCCACCCTTAGTGTACGCAGACCTTACCCCCACCCGAGGGGGTAGAGAGGCTATTTCCGAAAGACCCTCAGCTCAAGACGACGAAAAGAAACACTATATCAGTACCATCATCAGAAAAATCAAGAAACAATTACAGCAACATAAGAACCAAAAAATAGATGACAAGCAATAACAATACGTGCCCGAACCATCTCAGCCTCGACTCCCACATCTTGGCATCCATAGGAGCCACACTAACCTTCTCCCGAATATCTCTATTCTGAATCTTATCCATCCTAGTGTGCCCGAACATCCACCTCAACATCCTCATTTCTGCTACTTTCATCTTCAGGGTATGTGAGTTCTTAACTGGCCAATACTCAGCCCCATACAACATGGCTAGTCTAATCTCCATTTCATCCACCCCGCCCCTATACGGTGTGTGACATCCTCGTCGATCTCCCTATCCCCATGGATAACCGACCCAAGGTACTTGAAACTGCCTCACTTCCATGCTTATTTCCCTCGGCTCGCGCTTAACTTGCACTCTAGGTATTCCGTCTTAGTCCTGCTCAACTTGAAACCCTTAAACTCAAGGGCATGTCTCCAAACCTCCAGCCTCTCGTTGACGCCACCATGCGTCTCATATATCAGCATTATGTCGTCAGCGAATAACATACACCAAGGCACCTTCCCTTGAATATGGCGTGTCAGTGCGTCCATCACCAAGGCAAATAAGAACGGGCTAAGCGCAGATCATTGGTGTAACCCCATAACAATCGGAAAAAGCTCCGAGTCGCACCCTACTGTCCTAACCCGAGTCTTAGCTCCATCATACATGTCCTTACTCGCCCTTATGTAGGCAACCAGCACACCTTTAGCCTCCATGCATCTCCAAAGAACCTCTCTAGGGACCTTGTCATACGCTTTCTCCAGCAGTGTTATCAAAGGCGTGCTTAAGCCCCGACGCGAGGCTCAAAACGTGTTGACCGCTTCGCGTCGCTTAGCGGGCGCTTCAGTATTATCATCAAGGCTCTAAGGCATACTTTTCCTTGCCAATGAGCGTTATCTTGAAGAGGTGACACTAAACAATTGATATTTCACTTTATCGTAAATTTTCTTTAATTTCTTTATCTATATATTTGGTATTCATGCTTATAGATGTTAATCTTGGACTACACATATATTTGTAGTTTTTCTCCATTTGCATCTTTTCTCATAAAAGCCCTCGCTTTTTTGTGCTTTGCGCTTAAGGCCCCAATAGACTTTAGAGCTTTTTTGCGCTTTTCGCCTTTGATAACACTTTTCTCCAAGTCAATAAACACCATGTGTAGGTCCTGCTTCCTATCCCTTTACTGTTCCACCAACCTCCTAATAAGGCGGATAGCTTCCGTAGTCGACCGCCCCAGCATGAACCCAAATTGGTTGTCAAATATAGACACTGTCCTCCTCACCCTCGCTTCCACCACCCTCTCCCAAACTTTTATGGTATAACTTAGCAACTTGATACCCCTTTAGTTGTTACAACTCTTAATATCACCTTTATTCTTATACAACGGCACCACCGTGTGCCACCTCCACTCATCCAGCCTCCTCTTCGTCCTGAAAATAACATTAAACAGCCCAGTCATCCACTCTAAGCCTGCTCTGCCTACACACCTCCAAAATTCAACCGGGACTTCGTCTGGCTTGGTAGCTCTACCCCTACTCATCTTACGCATAGCCCCATGATCTCCTCGACATTAATGAGCCTACAATACCCAAAGTCTCGGAAACTCTCAGAGTGCCCCAATTCACCTAGCACAATGTCTCGATCCCCCTCTTCGTTCAGAAGTCTATGAAAGTAAGTCAATCATCTCCATTTAATCTGAGCCTCTCCCATCAATACTCTACCGTCCTCGTCTCTGATGCACCTTACTTGGTCCAGATCACGACCCTTCCTCTCTCTCGCCTTGGCTAGCCGAAATAATTTCTTCTCTCCGCCTTTGTGACCGTCAACTTTGCCTCCTTCCTAGCTACCGTATACCCCTCTTTGTTCGCTCTCCTCTCCTCTCCTCCTCGCATGTGCTCCCTACTAACTTCAGGTATGCCGCATTCTTCGCTTCCACTTTACGTTGAACCACTTCATTCCACCACCAGCCACCTTTGTGCCCGCCCAAGTAACTCTTGGATACCCCTAGCACCTCTCTCGGCATCCCTAATACAGTCCACCGTCGTCATCCACATAGCGCTCGCGTCCCCACTACTCCTCCACCTTAGTCAAGGCTCCCCACCTGATCCTCGGTCGTTCTCGTACAACCCTCTTCTTCCTCTTTACCCTGATACCGACGTCCATCACCAAGAGCCTATGTTGCGTCGCAAAAGCCTCACTCGCAATAACCTTGCAATCCTTGTACAGCGCCACAGAGCCCTCTATCACACCTCCTTAGGAGAAGATAGTCAATCTGAGAGGTAGATCGACGCCATCATTTTTGAAAGATAGGGAAGTTACGTGTAGACTTTCAAATAACGGGTTATGTGCTACAAACCCAATATAAGGGAGGCGATATTTAACACTATACAAATAAAATGTGATGACTATGGATGACCAGCAAAGGAAAACCAAAATAAATTAAGAGACAATGCCAGAAGTGATGAAAACATCCATGCACAACACTTAGTAATTATGCAAAAGGTATATTTGAGTAGGGAGGATTCCATGATTGAAATCAAGATAGGTCGATAGCAAGGACAAAGTATGTACCCCTATAATAGGTACAAACAGAATGTGAAAACGTGGGAAAGGACTAAGTACGAACCAAATGTGAAAAGCAAAAAAAAAAAAAAAAAAAAAAAAAAAAAAAAAACAGAATCTTAAGAGATATATGAAGTCGCTATCTAATATTGATAATGCTTGTCTTCATTGCTAGGGAAGAATATAATAGGTTTTTACTTGCTAGAGCTACACAAACAACATTCAAGATGCATCAATGCTACAAGAATGTACATTGTTTATAATTTAGTTCGATTCATAAGACAAAGTTAAGTTTAAGAACAAGCCCAGTAGTGCCCAAGTAATAGATACAAATATACATGCAGGTGAAAGGAAGAGAGATACCTAGAGAAGAAAGAAAAAAGATAACAATGGAAAAGGTAAGTGATTCGGAGCTTTGAGATTCATGCATTACAAATTGGGAATTGCCTAATGAAACTGGAGTAGGGATATAAACAACCATAACAATTGTTAGGGACGAAATGACGCTTCAACAAACTTTTTGGAAGCCTCAATTTCAAGTTTCCTAAATGTTAGGGAGACAAGATCAGTAGTTCTCTGTCTCTATCTATTGATAAAGGATAGAGTAACTAGTCTAACCTGCCTTTTCATTTTGCTTTTGTATTCCAGCTATGAATTTCGAACACAAAATCTTGCTTCTAAAAGAGGATTAAAGGTATATGCGTCCCCAACCAATATTTCAAATTAGAGTTGTTGCCTAACAGCTCAGCTGTGTTTCTGGTGGTTTGGCAGCTGAGTCTACTTTATCTGGTGTTTCAAGGTCATACAAGTATTCATTTGCGTAGCATTCTTTATAAGCAATAGTGACAGATGATGTACATAGAGCAAATTCCAAATGGAAGTATTACTACTGATCATGTTGAATATATCCAGTAAAAACTAGTGAAATAACCAAAGAGAATAGGCATGGAAGAAAGTCCATCTGAACATTACAGTAAGTGCAGCCAGTGGGGAGCTATCAAAGGCTGAGAGGACAATCTCACTCTTCAAGAAAGCTGTGTAGAGTTGCCGCTGGACAATGCAGTAAGGTATAACATTAGGAAAAACTCCAAATAATTTATCAGAAAGAAAATGCTAACAGCACAAGTTACTTTAAGAGACAAATTAATGAAAAACTGTACAAGTGATGGAAACAAACTTGTACCTGACAATTTGTCAATTTAAGCCACACAATAATCTCATTTTTCTTGGAAAGTTTTGCGCCGGCCGAGGATTCATCGGAAAATACCTCACTCTTGAGACGTCGCAGAAAATATGGTTGAATGTGTTCCCTCAATTCCTATACAACACACAATAACAAATTTTTAGTGGGAATAAGCATCTGCTACAAGCCAATAATCCCACATGGATTTCAAAAACAGAGACATAACCAAAAAAATTTAATTTTTTAATAGATCACAATAGCATAAATTGACCCATACCAGAAAATTACACGATTTATAAACCATATAGAGCAATATTAATCTTAAATATATACATATTAATATAAACATCCTTCCAATGCATATTCTCATACATAGTGACAGCTAGAATCATGTTTCTCTTTGCCTCGTGATGGGTATATTCTTTTCAGTTTCCGTTCATGGATAAAAATCAAGTACCCATATGATTTCAAGCTCTGGTATTTCTTGGAGAACCAAAACATTTGATTAGTTGTCATTTTATTCGTGAAAAATCCAGTCTAGACTCATCTTGATCAATGTATTTAGTTCAAATGAAGGCAGAAACGTTCACCAAAGCGCTTCAAGGTCTGAGAAACAAGCATAAATGTGGCAAGCTTAAGACCAATATGTTCCAGCTTTTAAGGGAGTGTCAAATCCAGATTAGTTGTACAGAATCATGCAGAGCAGAACATTGTAAAATCTTTTGTATTACTTAGGTGAAATTATAGGATCCTTGTACAACAGATACTCTTTTATATCCAAAAGCGATGAATATTAATATTGAATCACTCTGCCTTGACTGACCAGTTTAGCTATTAAGCTAAGAACTGAGAAGAACGTTGGATCGAGTTTCTATATCAGATGTACATTCATCTAACGTAGTGTAAATTCAAGCTTGGGAAACCTGGCAACCAACCATCTCAGACAAACCGCCTTCGCTGAGTTGCATGTTATATCGCTTAATCACTTCACAACTTAAGGCGATTAACAAAGAACAGAAGCACAATATTCTGGCCAATGTCACAGTGTTACCTGACCCAGGAAACCCCAACTTGACAGCTTCCAAAATACAACTCTAAAGCTTGAGAAGGCAAATGACAATCAACTATACGTGTAATAAAAAGCACTACTACTCCAAATCCCAAAGCATATCCATGGCTTATATTGTGAAGAACAGAATGCAGGATATCTACATTTTCTATCTAGCTTTATCATTTTTCTGATTTTGCTCAGAGGAGAGAGAGAGAGAATGAAAAAGATGAATTCAATTTACTGCTATAGCTTTGTCAAAAAAGACTCAAGACCCGTTTGTTCATAAGTTTTTTTTTCAAAAAATGTGTTTGTCCATGAAATTTTAAAAGTTTTTTGGAAATTTTTCGAAAACGGGTTTTTCAAAAACCAAAAAGTGATTTTTACCACTTTTCCAAAATTTTTGGGAAAAAACTTTTTACCCCACTCAAAAAATTGAAGCATTTTTCCAAGTGAAATGCATGTCCAAACACAGTGGGCGTTTGGACATAAGAATTGTAAAATTCCAAAAAAAAAAAGAAAAAAAGTTTCAAGTGAAAATGGAATTTGAAAATTAGAGTAGTGTTTGGACATGAATATAATTTTGGGTTGTTTTTATGACCAAACGTTGATTTCGAAAAAAAGTGGAAAACTTCTTATGTCCAAACGGGCTCATAATTTCAAATTCCAAACATCATTTTTCAACGTAACTCCAAATACTACTTTTTTTCAAACATTATAATTTTTATGTCCAAACGCCTACTTAATGTATTTACTATACCTGTTAATCGGGTCGGGCCAGACCAATGACAGCCCGGTACGCTAGGGGGTGGGACGGGTTGGGGAGAGTTTGGCGCGGGAGGCGGGGTTGGGAACCGGTTACCCACTACCGGGTTTTTACCGGACTACAACCCGGTTACCATTGAATTTTTTTTTAAAAAAAACTTTTTGACCGTTGCCAACGGTCAAATTCAAAACGGCCATTTTTGCAAATTTGGCCACTTCAGCCTACCCCCTTAAGAAAATAGCCCCCCATCCCTAATAATTGATAAATTACAATTTTAACCTTTTAAAAACTATAAATAGCCTCCCCTTCTTCATTTTTTCTCACAATTTGCTCTCTTCTTTTACTTTAATTCTCTCCCAATTTCCTCTTGATTATTGAATTGCTTATTGCTCTCAAGTTCTCAATTAATTAATATTTCAAGTTTATCAATTATTTACGGTAGCCACTACAATATTACAATTATCTATACTACATTAAAAGCACGAAGGCCTTTAGCGAAATGTCGTTCGTCTTTTTTGCCCTTTAAGAATAAATTTCACACTAGACAAAAGTGTAATTTAAGCTTCTTTCCAAATTTTTAGGAATTTAACTTTACTAAAATTTTAGTACATTCCATGTTTTGAACTCCTGTGAAATTAGTCCTAACATATAGGACTCACACAAGAATGGAAACAAAATATTTATGACGAAAAGAAAACTTAGAATCACCAAGATTACAATTTGCTTCATCGGCCAATAAAATACCATTTTTATGTCCATAGTTTGGTAGAAAATGTTATTGAACTTATAGACAAATTTTATTCTAACCGAATTGTCATCATCTCTTTTCTAAGTATTTCAACAAACGATAATTTTTTATAGCAAAATATACTTAGCGAAATATCGTTTGCCTTTTTTTACCTTTTAAAAATAACTTTCACATTGGACAAAATAGTTATTAAATTATTTCTCTAAAATTTAGAAATTTAAAATCAACTAAAAAATTTGCACTGATTAATTCCTTTTATATATGAACTTTTATGCAATAGTCATAATATATAGGGCTCACGCATGCTATAAGCATGAAGAACAAAAACAAAATATTTTCATTTATGCGAAAAATAAAACTTAAGGCTCAGCAAGATGCAATTTGCTTTGTTAACCAATGAAAGAAGAAAGTTATCATTGGTGTCCTAATTTTAATATAAAAAAAAAACATATTCAACTTATAGACAAAATCTATTCTTAACGAACTGTCATCATCTTTTTAGTTATTTCAACAAACGATTTTTGATATTTCTATATAATTATTTGTTGTAAAATAGTAAGCCCACATTAGTAATTTTTAGATATTTTCACTTATCCAATTTTTTTTATGAGCTATAAGCCAACATCTTTATTCCCAAAAGACCAAAATATTTAATTTTTAAATTTATTTTATTTGAGAAATCTTATTATTTGTTTACTTAGGTCACAAATATATCAATAATTTTCATAAAATATTCTCTCAGAAGTCCTCATAAATCACAATTATGTATTTGAGGACTTCTATGGCCAAGATTTCTTCGCGATCAACATTCATCTTTTTAGTAGCTTATAGTTTAATTTGTTTAACTTTTATTTTACAAGCCAATCACATTATTTAATAATATTTTGTATTTTTTAAAATAATATATTCATTTGTATTGGGTACACGCGCAAAGCGCGTACCCTAAGACTAGTCAAGTGAAGTGTGGTTATCATTTTTGTTAGGTTCAAGTTAAATCATGCCCCGTGCTTCTAGAGTGCGCTCACACGTTTGGGAACAGTTTGAGGTGATAGAAAAAAATGAAGAAGTTCACAAAGTTCAGTGCAAGAACTGTGGTCTAGTCTTTAATGTTCGTCGAAAAAGGGAGGGCACAGCTGGTTTAAGGAGGCATATCAAGGGTTGTCTTGAGTGTCCTCCATCAATTCGTATTTTAAGTTGATTTGAGACAATTTGTGTTATTTTGAATTTGTTAGACTTATTTAAGCTTAATGTGTTAGTGTATTAGACAAGTTAATTTGAAGTATCATTATGCAATGAAAATATGAAATGAAAGTCTTTGAAGTTTGATCCTTACATATTGATCTTATTAAATAATTTTATGTAGCCACTTAATTTCAATTTTCAAATTTTATAATTCAAATTTAAAACTTTAAATTTTAAAGTTTAAAAGTTTAATTTTACGCCTTAAAATACTTAATTTATTATTTAAAAGTTTGCAAACATTGAGTAACAATTACATTGAACAAGGAAACATAATACACTAAAAAAAATTAAACCCGGTCCGGTCCGGACCCGATAAACCCGAACCCGGACGGGCCCACCAAAACCCGGAATATCCCAGCCCACTACCAGCCCGGAACCCCAACCCACTAACCAGCTCGGAACAATAACTGGACGGGCTGGTTTTTTTCGTGTCCAGCCTGGACCAGCCCGTCCGGTTAACACCTACAGTATTTACTGCTAAGAGCAACACCAATATTTATTCTAGAGTGAGAGGAAAGTTGTCAGAATACATGAATTGTCCATGATCAACAATAACAACTACAATGGATGGAAAGATATCACAACATAATCTAAATGGTGTAGATATTTATCCTTGCAAAGAAGAAGATAATCAAGAAACATAAGAACACAGAAGAAGCTAGCATATGTAGAGTATAAATATTGGTTTAGCAATCACCTTTGCAACTGCTGAGCCAATACGCTTGTCTCTGTCATAAGCATTTTTATCATTTCCACGAAGAATGGGATGCTCATATTTCTCTTTGAACCTTTAATAGAAGTAGCTTCATGTCATTTGAGCCCAATGTTTCAATATAAGCAGATTGTATTTGAACATGTCAGTATACCATTGTTTGTCACCCAGCAGCCCAGGGCAGCAGAAGTTGAATAGAGCCCATAACTCCTATTTGGGTAAGGATGGGGTAGGAATAAAGGAAAAGAGAGCAAAACACATTATTAACTTGCTTCTATGATTTCAACTGACATCATAGCGTGATAGACATAAAAAAAAGGTAATAGTATATACACCTTGAGGTTGTTTTGAAGAGGTGTGCCACTTATAATGATACGATGAGCACAAGGAATCTCATGCAAACTTTTAGCCCTCTGTGTACTGGGATTCTTTATGAGATGCCCCTGATATTTCAAAAATTCAAGCTTTAAGAGGCTTATACAATCACAATNCTCAAACTTTAAGAGGCTTATACAATCACAATTATAAACTTGTAATAAAACCGCAAGGATATATATATTTGCCATCCATGCATATACTATTTCTTTTCAAAAGAAGTCAATCAACAAAAATCAAAGCTTTAAGGCAAATAATTGAGATGCTAAACAATTTAAATCGAATTTAACACCTCCTAATACTCAAAGGGAGATCATGGCATATTTAAATAAGGCCTATTATCTTGCTGCTCCAGCAGCAGTTATGGATGTTCAAGCAACTAAGATATATCAGCACCCTTCCCAAGTTATTAAGCCTAGGAAGCTGATCATATCATGTTTCCCCGGGGCTATGATCATGCACCAACCAGGCTTATAATTTCAGATGGCCTGAGTGTTGAGCCACATCAGGTATGTAATCTACCAAATAAAAAGTCCTTTTGCACATAGCATAAGAGTTAAATTTCCCTATAATCAAATATGTCTTTTCCTAAAAATGTGATAAAAAGGGATGATGTTTTACTTCTGGATTGAACTAAGGTTTCTTAATGCACAATATCTGTTCAACAACACCTAAATGGAAGTAGTATCTCAATTATGCTAATTAATTGAAACAAAATGACAATTGCCATGCATTGACATTAGAAACAGTTAAATGGTAATCAAGAAGTACCTCATCAAGAATCATATAATCCCATGTCAACTCCTCATCTTTGTCAAGGAAATACTGATCACCACATAAAGACTTTACATTATTTCTAACAATGTCGTATGTTGTGAGGAGAATGCCTTTGTCCTGCATAAATGAAACATAAATATCAAGTAGGGAAGAAGTAACCATAAGTTAAACCATGCCAGAAAACACAACTTAATATAACTCAACTTATGAAAGTCCATTGTACATTAGATATCCAACAGTTACAAATCAAGTCAAAAGTTCCAAACATGCACCCACATATAAAATGCATGAATCTGTGTCAATAACTCGTCTTGATACTAAAAGTTATTGTTGAGTTGTGTCCCATATCGGTGAGTTATGGGTATCTTGGTCTCCTTATATGGTCTTGGGCAATCCTCACCTCACAAGCTAGCTTTTGGGGTTGAGTTAGGCCCAAGGTCCATTCTTATCATGGTATCAGAGCTAGGGTTTTTAGTCCCTGCTCCATCTCATTTTTCTTCCTTTAATTAAAAGACTAGAAGAACCAGATCCTCCTTGGTCGACTCTTCAGTTTTCTCTATTTCTTCCTATTTCTCTTGTTTTGTAGTTACTCTCATTCACTTTCAGCAGTTCCTGTGTAATAAATACAACAATGGGAGATGATAAAGCAGTTGAAAATCAAATTACTGGAAAGTCGATTTTTTCCTCTTCACCATCTCCAACAATTACTACTGTTAAGTTGAATGGAAGTGGAAATTATACCTCTTAGGCAGCTTCTGTACAACTGTGGTTTATAGGTCAAGGATATGAAGATCATTTGATCAAGAATTATACAGAGATTGGAGCATCTGATAGACCAACTTGGGTTAAAATAGATGCTCAATTATGCAGTCTTCTATGGATCTCTCTTGACAGTAAGTTACTTAATCTTTTTAAGTCATGTAAGACATGTTGCAGGGTTTGGAACAAGGCCAAAACCTTGTATACAAATGACATACAGCTTATTTACAAGGTAGTCTCAGACATTGTCCACCTGCAACAGAATCAACAAGATCTTGGTCAGGTAGAATCTTTAAAGGATCAATTTGATTCTCTTATGCCTTTTACTGACAAGTTGGATGTTCAGGAGAGACAGAGAGACAGATTTTTTATGGTTCTAGCCTTGATTGGATTAAGATCTTATCTCTCCTCAGTTCGAGACCAGATTCTTGCTAGCGCATTTGTTCCTACCTTGGAGGAAGTATCTGCCAGATTGTTGCGCATCACATCTACACCGGAGGTAAACTCATATGATACTTCTATAATGGCTGTACAAACTAGCACTTTTCAAAATGGACCCAGAAAAGGAAAAGGGAAAAGCATTCTATTTACCATTTTTCTTCTCTTCTTCTTTCACATGGTATCAGAGTCAGGCCCATCACAATTTATTGTTACCGATGTTGGACCCCCATTTATATTGTCTACGCTCCAGTTGCAGGCCTGGGCGTGAGGGGAGGGGGGGTGTTGAGTTGTGTCCCACATCGGTGGGTTATGGGTATCTTGGTCTCCTTATATGGTCTTAGGTAATCCTCACCTCACAAGCTAGCTTTTGGGGTTGAGTTAGGCCCAGTGTCCATATCTTATTATGGTATCAGAGCCAGACCCATCCCAATTTATTGTTACCGATGTTGGACCCCCATTTATATTGTCCACGCTCCAGTTGCAAGCCTGGGCGTGAGGGGGGAGGTGTTGAGTTGTGTCCCACATCGGTGGGTTATGGGTATCTTGGTCTCCTTATATGGTATTAGACAATCCTCACCTCACAAGCTAGCTTTTGGGGTTGAGTTAGGCCCAAGGTCCATTCTTATCAGTTATAATCTAATTGAAAATGAGAGGAAGAGAGAATTAAAGCCCATGCAAGTAGTAGACTTCTTTTCTCTTTTTTGCATGCAGTCCCAATGAACTACATTACAATTAAGATATTTCTATCTGCTCAAACAGTTGATGGAACGTTAAGCGTGGAATGGAATCCTTATTTTATATAGTTCCAGTACGAAACAGACTAAACATGATGAACTAGCAAATTTTTACTGAGTAAAGAAGATGAAACCTGAAGAACATATTCAAGCTCATAATTCCGGAGTTTTGCACTAGTCGCAAAATATCTGCACCAAGAAAGTACCATGAACACTTCTCTTTTCATACTACCAGTTGAAGTCACATTTGAAATCAATAAGACAAAAACATTAAAGCAAGACGCCTTACTCCCTTATTTTCTGAGAAAGCCCTACAGCAGTTAATTCCTTGATCCAATGGGGCAACAAAGTTTTGGGAGCTACAATCAACACCCTCTTTATCAACTTTGAATAAAACAATCCAGCTATGTAGCCACATATCTAAAACATTGCATAAGTAGAAAAAGTTACTTCAGAATTATTTTGTGAACATTATACTTTTGAAGATGGAAGAAATACAAAATTAAGACATTGACTTTTACCTGCATGGTCTTCCCCAAACCCATGTCATCGCCTAAAATACCACCCTTACCCAGACAGTGAAGAGACCAAAGCCACTTCAAACCATCACGCTGGTGAGGATACAGCATTTTGGCAACTTTACCAGGTAACCCGTAATTGAACTTTGGTCCACTGAGAGTGTAAGTGTGATCCTCCTCTGAAACAAAATCACGTGAATCAAAGTCATCTGAATGTTTACGCTCAAGTCTAGCCTTCCTGTTATGTCTTCCCACTTGAGTAATAGCACTCTTGTCACCAACGACCACACAATCACCATCACTATCATTACTGTCTCCTTCCAGAAATTTGTAGGCAGATAAAGAGTTTTTCATGGGCTGTGATTTTCCAACCATCTTAACTTCTTTTCTCTTTGGTGCTTCAACTGAAGACCTTGTATCATTCAATTTCCGGACAACATAGTCATTCTTAGATTCACCCCCCAAATCGATCTCCTTCAGAGACTCCTTGTGAATTTCTCCTCTAATCCTAGACTCCTTGATTGTATCATATGAGGAACCAGCACTTTGGTAATCCGGAATTTCATCCTTCTTAGTCAAATCACTGGGCTTCGGTGCCCTCTTTTTCTCAATAGACAAAATCTCAAGTCTCGAACTTAAATCATTCAGGATATCCCTTATTTCACTCCCAGAACTACCATGTTCATTCTGAACTGCATTTTTCGCCTGGGGAGGAGGTGAATCAAAATCTGTTATCTCGAGAAATCCAGACTCTTCATTGTCCTTTAGCTTCAGTTCCTCACTGTCATTGTTATCCTCTGAAATTTTGCAAAGGCGGCGACGGCCTTTGATCTTTATCTTCATTATTTTCTCCTCTTCTGTCAGACAACACACTCATCCACATCAATGGTATAATCAGACGTGCACATATAATGCTCTGCCTACAGCAAATCATAATTTTGGCACACGAGCATATTATTTCTCAAAGGAACAAACATTACCTTCATTAGATGTTTTCTCATAATCTTTCTGGCCTTTCTGAGATTGTTCACAATTTTCATACACATCTTTGGACTGTTCCATATCCACTGCAACATCGTTTACTGATTAACATCGAGGCAGAAACATACTGGAAATCACTCGAGATTAACAGGGAGAGGGATATAAAGATAAGTCTTAGTTTATCTACCAGAAAGTGAAGAACTGTTATCATCAATTTTAGATAGTAGTGGGTCCGCTTTGGTTCCACTCTTGGGTTGATCAATTTCTTTTTCCACTTAAAAAAATTCAGATGTTCAAAAAAAAAAAGTTAAGTGACAGAACAAGAAAAGCATGTAACAGAGATAAGAAAGCACATAATCGTATTTTCAGCAAAAAAAACGAGTTTGAGAGACACTAGTAATTACCAGAACTAGACGAGCTATCAAGATTACCGATTTCAGAGCAGTGAGAATCAAAAGAATCCACGGGTGGTTCACTTAATTGCTCTTGAATTTCATTCTTGGGTTCATCGTCAATCTCCTTTTCCCCTACACAACCATTTCAGTTAAAAGGTAATTATAGGAAATTATTTAATGAGCATTCATTGATAACTTAGAATAAATGATAAACAACTTGCTAAGATAGGTTCAATTTTTACTGATGGTGTAAAAATAATCAATTACCCCATAAATGTATAATACTTAAATCATTTGATAAATGGTAAATAAATTGCTATAACAAGGTAATTTACATTGAGGTGTCAAAAAATTATTAGGCTGTAAGTGTAAATATAAATATTTACCGATTCCACAACACTGATAATCGAAAGAATCCTCGGGTTGATCACTTAATTCCTCTTGAATTTCATGCTTGGATTCATCAATCTCATTTTCCCCTGCACAATATTTTAAGGAAAACAGGTAAAAATAGAGATTCAAAAAGGGCGTTTTAGCTCCTGTTTTTTACCCCAAAAAAAAAAGCAATCAAAATTAGGAACCGCGTCGTTTTAACAATGAAAGAAAGGATAGTATGGCAGAAGAATACCAAAAGGAGAAGATTTAGCAGAATCTGGACCGAAATCAGCAACGGCAGAGAAATTAGGAATGGCGTCGTTCTCAAAAGCACTAATATTGTTAATCTTCGATTGATCATCAGTCTCCTCTGCCTCTCCTATACCATTTGAAGAACATGGAACTATACCCACTCAAAACAAAAAGTTTTTGAAGAGAATATAAATTCCGGCGAAATTTTTTCGCCTCAATAGAAGAACAAGACTACATAGGTAAAACAATACCAGAAGGAGAAGATTTTGTAGCAGAATCGGGACTGAAATCAGCAATCCGGGAGAAATTAGGTACGCTGTCGTCTCCTATGTCATTCGAAGAAAATCGAACTATACCCACACAAAATAATCAGCTTTTGAAGAAAAACAAACTTCGCCTCAACGAAAAAATAAGACTATATAGGTAAAAGAAATACCAGGAGGAGAAGATTTTGTATCAGAATAGGGACTAAAATCGGCAATCCCGGAGAAACTAGGAACGCCATCGTCTCCTATATTATCATTTGAAGAGAATCGAAGTATACCACACACAAAAAAAAAACAATCAGCTTCAAAAATTCAACAGAAGGAAGAAAATCGACTTAGCAGAAAAAGAAGCGAATATATGTATAAAAGAAATACCAGGAGAAGGAGAAGAATCAGGTTCAGAATCTGTGATTGCAGAGAAAGTGGGAACGGCATCATTTTGATTGAAACGTCGCCTAGCTTCCACTTTTGTCAAATCATCTACATTAAACAAAAAGCATCAAATAATGAGTAGCCGGTTCAAGGAAATTAGAATATAGAAGATAAATAAACAAGGAGAAAGTACCAGGAGGGGGTTTAGAATGAGAAGCGGAAAGGTTAATCAGAATCTGAGTATGGCGTTGGTTAAGGCTTCGAGGTTGCTGCTGTTGCGGCGGCTTAGCCATTTCTGAGTAATAGAGAGAGTATAGTGATGGTGGTGAAGCAGTAAGTTTTTTGCAGAACAATGGAGAAAATGCTCTTTGGGCTTCTGCTTCGTTGCCTTTTATTCCCGCTTTCGGCTCAACAATTTGAAATTCAAAAACCCCTTTGCTATTGCTATAAAACCTAAGTAGTCCTTTAAGGAGTCGTTTGGTTTAGAGACATTTTATGCTAGGACTGTAATGCGGACGATTAGTAATGTAAGAATTATAATGAAGGATTATTTATGTTGATATATCACAAATGGTATATACGGAATAATATAGAATATATATATGTTTGTTTACAAAAAACAAAGTAAAAGTTTGTTTATTTTTTAGTTTTGTCATTTTAGTATAACACTTCATAAATTCATATTAGGTGTGGATATGTTAAATGAGTATTAATGTGATACTTTAGATATGTGAAGTCCTATTGGGATAAGTGTGGGTAGAAATAGTTGTTTTGGAATCAAGACGGAGAGTGAGGTGCATAAGATTCGATAAAATCGACGAAGTTTATGAAAGGTCTCTATTCCAGCATTATTTCGTAAAAGTCTATTAGGAATTTGAGGAAACTTAAAACATGAAAGTTGTAGTCCTTTGAAGTATCTTTCCAGTGATACATTGTGTAGCCAGAACGGATCTTCCTGCAAAAAAGTTATGCGCATTTTACTGGATAATGCGCAATCTGCGCAATCTGTGCGTTCAGCTAACACGTGCGAGGCAGCGCACTTATGGCAGTGCCACTGCCCTTGCTGTGCGTTCAGGTGCGGGGTTGGGCCCATAGTTGCGTGGACGCACACCTGGAGGATCATTTTATAAGCCCTAACTCGTCCCCTACACCCCAAAACAAGAAACTTTACTCTAGAAAAGGAATTTCTCAAGAACCCAACTTCCTCCAAGGTAAGTTCTAATTATGATTCTAAATTAATTTCAATTCTCTAACACCTTATTAATAAGAATAAACCTTCAAATCATTAGATATTCGATTCAGACATCATTGTTGAGAAAAAAAAACCTGGAACTTGAATTCAAAGAGGATTGAACTTCAAAAAGGTAATGTTTCAACTCCATAATCATTTATAGTTTTGAATTTATGAGTTCTTGGGAGAATAATAAATGGGTATGATAAAGAAAATCATATGAACTAAGCTAGGGTTTTGGGTTATTGATATAAGATTGTTGTAAACATTTGGGTGATGAGAAATGTGACGACCCAGCTGGTCGTCTTAAGAATTTACGCCCTGATCCCCTATTAACTGTTTTTCCCGAGTTTATTTCTGCTATTTTGATTTGTCAGAATGTTCAGTTTTGAATTTCGGAGAATTTTGGGACACTTAGTCCCTAAATGAGAGCTTAAGTGTTGGAAAGTTGACCGCAGTTAGAACAGTGTGAAGACAGCCTCGGAATGGAAATTCGATGGTTCTGTTAGCTTCGTTGGGTGATTTCGGGCTTAAGGACGTGTTCGGATTGTGTTTTGGAGGTCTGTAGCTAATTTAGCCTTGAAATACCGAAAGGTCGAATTTTGAAGTTTCTGGTTCGATAGTGAGATTTTGATCTGAGGGTCGGAATAGAATTCCGAAAGTTGGAGTAGCTCTGTAGTGTTTAATGGAACGTGTGTGCAAAATTTCAGGTCATTCGGACGAGGTTTGATAGACTTTTTGATCGAAAGCGTATTTCTAGAGTTTTAGAGTTCTTAGGCTTGAATCCGTAGTTGATTCGTCGTTTCGATGTTGTTTTAGGTGTTTTAAGGATTGGTATAAGTTTGTACAGTGATATTAGACTTATTGGTGCCTTTGGTTGAGGTCCCGAGGGCCTCGGGATGATTTCGGATGGTTGACGGAAGGATTTTGGAGTTTGGAGTTGCAACTTCAGCTGGTTTTCTGTCATAACTGCACCTGCGGTTTGGGCCCCGCAGGTGCGGAGCCGCAGAAGCAGCGGAGAGATGCAGAAGTGGAAAATGGAGAAGCCAGTAGGGACCGCAGAAGCGGGAGCTTCACCGCAGAAGCGGCCCCGCATCTGCGAAGGGTTAACTGCAGATGCGGAAGATGGGCTTAAGTGAGAAGTCGCAGATGCGACCATTGTTCCGCAAAAGCGGGACCGCAGATGCGGTAACAACTGGGCAGAAATATGAAATTTCGAGGGTTTAGTTTCAAAAGTTGGAAATTCGATTTGGAGCTCGAGAGAGGGCGATTTTGGGAGGAAATTGAAGAGGAGATCAGTGGTTAACAATTCTTTAATCCTTTCTAGTTATATTCCATCAATCTATAGTTAATTTCATCATTTAATTTCGGATTGGAGATGAAAATTGGGGAAAAGTTGGAAGAAAGTTCTTAGACCTAGAATTCGACTTTTGATTGGGAATTTGACCTTAGATTTGGATAATTTTGGTATGCATGAACTCATGGGAGTATAAGGATTCTGAAAATATAAATTTTACCCGATTTCGAGACATGGGCCCGAGGGCGTTTTGGTCATTTTACCTAATTTCGCGTATTAGCTTAGAATTTTTTGTAGAATCAATTACTTGAAGTGTTATTTACATCATGAAATTGTATTGAATAGATTTGGGCTATTTGGAGTCGAGTACTCGTGGAAAGAGCGTGATTTCGGATTGATTATTGAGCCGGTTCGAGGTAAGTGGCTTGCCTAACCTTGTGTGGGGACTTTCCCCTTAGGATTGGTATTGTGATAATTGAAATGCCTTGTACGTGAGGTGACGAGTGCGTACTTGTGCTAATTGTTGAAAATCCAGTTTCCATTAAGTAACTTTCTTTATTGTGCTTTCCCTCTCTATTTATTCTACTTGCACTTTTAAACCTGCTGTTAGTTAGAGAAGCATGTCTAATTGTCTTAATTGCTTTATTTGCTTTAACTGCCTTATTTGTATTACGTGAAACATGCTAGGTTAGAATTGTTTGTGTTACTTTGTTATGGAGTTGAGTTTATTTGAGTATTCCTTGTGTCATTGTTGTGTGTTTTACTTTGGGACTACGGGATGGCATCCCGGGAGATCCCTTGTACGCATTTATGATTTGAGTTGAAGTGCGTGATACCGAGAGATCCCCAGCACGTATATTGAGGATACCAAGAGATCTCTATCATCCATTGAGGATACCAAGAGATCCCTGGCATATATTGAGGATACCGAGAGATTCTCAGGATACCAAGAGATCCCTATCATACATTGAGGATACCAAGAGATCCTCGGGATACCAAGAGATCTCTAGCATATATTGAAGATACCGAGAGATCCTCGGGATACCAAGAGATCCCTAGCATACATTGATGATACCGAGAGATCCCCGGTTATTTCCTTGTGATTGTTTCGCCTCTGTTTCAGTTATTAAATTTCTTGTTTTCCTGTATTAAATTTGTATTGTTAGCTTTCAATTGTAGTGTTTATCTTATACTATCATACCTTATATTTTTATTTTATCTCAGTAAGGCCCTAACCTTCCTCGTCACTACCCGACCGAGGTTAGGCTTGGCACTTATTGAGTACCGCTGTGGTGTACTCATGCCCTTTCTTCGCATGTTTTTCATGTGCAGATCTAGGTACTTACACTCTATCTTATCATTCTTAAGGCGAGGCGCTTCCGTAGAGACTTCGAGGTATACCTGCCGCGTCCGAAGATCGAGGAGTCCCTTTCTATCTTTCTATAATAGTATAGCCCTTCGGTATTACATTTCTAGAGTTAGAGCTTCTTATGTATCTCTTAGCTTGTGATTCATGGGTTTCGGGTTTTGGGAAAGTGTATTGGTTTTAAGAGTTAATATTGTGTATGCCGAGCAGCACTTTTAAACGTTGTTTTGTTACTCTATTTCTGTTTTAAATTGTTTTATTCCGCACTTTGGTTTATCGTCCGCAAATTAGGCTTACCTAGTCGTAGAGACTAGGTGCTGTCACGATGGTTCACGAATGGCGAACCGGGGTTGTGACAAGAAATGATGTTAGTTACCTCTATTTGGGATTGTAGAATCACCTAAAAGTAGTAGAATGAGAATTGGGTGAAGAAAATACCATTAATAAGGGCTATGAAGATTTATGTCCACCAAGTGTTTGATCAAATGCCTAAGACATGAGTATTATTGCTAATAATATAGAATCCCTTTGTCTTGTATTGCTATATATTAAAGTGAAAGGTTTTGTGAACGTTGTATTATGCTCAAGAGCATGAAGTTAAGGTATGTGGGGCTAACTCTCTACGTTTGGAAATGTTAATGATTTTTCCTACATTACATTTTTTTTAAAACGTTACTAATTACCTTAGAAATATAACTAAGCTTAGTTCCTTGAATAGTTGCATAACTTCTGTTCTCTAGCTTCGTAATTCATTCATGATTTTCATTTCGAACGTTGTGAACTCAGTGCGTAATCAATATAGACTTGTGTTTGATACCTATGAGTCTTAGTCTAGATTACTCAACATGTCATAAACAGTTGAAGCTTCAGTTCTCATAAACAGTTCATAAATACATGTCTCAGTCTAGTCCTATTTAGCATTCTAATTTCATGTAACTTAGTATAATTCAGTATTTCAATATCATGTATCGCATTATGATTTTTAGTTCCTGATTTTAAATTTTTGAATGTCGAACACATGTATTTGGGCCTGAGGTGGTAGTTTATGCTTTATGCATATTTGGACCTGACGCTATAGTTTATGTTTTATGCATCTTTAGGCCTGAGGCCGTAGTTATGTATACGTATACTTGGCCCGAGGACGTAACTTGTGCACATATATATTAGGCATGAGACTATAGTTTATTTATAGAATTTTTACCTCCTATAGCAAAGGTTGATACCTTATTTATTTTAAATAAGTACTCTTTTAAAAAATTATATTCCATAACTACCTTTTGATTTTTTATAGCCAAATATCTATTTATGGTCACCTCTTACCCTTAAGCCATAAAGTAAACTTTGTATTATTTTTCTCTCTCCACTCAAATTTCTCCTATCCCCTCAAATTTCCCGTATCCCCTACCCGTATTTATTCTCCCTCTCCCCCCCCCCCCNGAGTTTTCCGGCGAAAACTCTGCTTCAACCTCACCACCGCCGAAGACTCTGCTTCAGAATTAGAGTTTTCCGGCGAAGAATTACTGATGCTGCTTCAACCTCACCGTCGCCGCTGAGCAGCTTGAATTTTCTTGAACTCCGTCAAGCCTCCTAGGATCTTAAATTCAAGTTGCACAAACTTTGGGCATCAATGGAAAACTCTGTCGCATGCTACAATTCCAAGAAAAACTACTTTATAAGCAAGGAAAGTTGCAATCTTTATCTATTTAGAAGTTTCAAAACGAGTGAATTCTATTTTTTTTAAAATAGAAGCTAAAAGAGCTAGAATATAATTTAATATGAATTGTAAAGAATAAGTTTTTTGAAGCGCATGTGAGGGTATTATTGTAACAGGAATAGTGACGTTTCGAGTCAGAATCACGGCCTTCTCGACGAGACGACATTAGGGTTGTTCTTGAACGAAGACGACGGAGTTTGGGGCTGAGCAACTTGAATTTTCTGTTAATATATTTCAATGTATCTCACTGTATTTTTATGTATTTCATTGTATTCATTGTCTTTTTTTCAATTGTATTTCAATGTATCTCGCTGTATTTTATGTATTTCATTGTATTCACTGTCTCGTTGTATTCCATGAATGTATTCATATATTTTTTTAATTAATATAATTATGTATTCATATGTATATATGTATTCAAATTGCTCTGTTTTTGTTGTATTTATTGTTTGGAAATAATATTCAGCATATTTTCTCTAAAGATTGCTATGTTTTTGGGGGTGTTTTTCGGTTGAAAATCTTTTTTATAACTGAAAATACAAATTTTGTGTGTTATAATTGAGTTTATTGAGTTATATTAGGAGTCTATTATGTTAATTATTCACTTTCCGTTTAAAAACAGCTGAATAGACCATGAATTGCGCTATTTACGTTACTGTATTCACAAATACATATCATGAATCCAGTCGAATACAATAATCTATCTAGCTGTAATCTCTTGTTTCACGCCGTGAATATAGTCGAATACAAAAATCTGTCTAGCTGTAATCCTCTATTTTATGCCTAGAAATACTATTGTATTCATGAATACAGTAGCTTAAATACATCGAATACACTCTAAAAAACCTGAAAACATAGCTATAGGAAGTAATATAGTAAATGGTAGCTACAACTAGCTAATAACCACTAAAACATAGTGGTTTCTGAAAGTGTCTCTTATTTATTCATATAAACAAGTGGTTCGACATTTATATTTACTTCCTTGTTCAGTTCAGTTATCAACTATTAGTTCAGTTTCAGTTTCAGTATTTACAGTTCTTTCTTTCAGTTGCTTTATATACCAGTGCAATTCAAATGTACTAACGCCCCTTTCGCCCGGGGCCTTCATGTCACGATGCGGCTAATGATTTACTGGTTGACAATTCAGAGTGCTAGAATTCTCGTACCAACTATTTGGTGAGCCCTAGTCTTTTGGGGCATTATCATTACTTTACAGTCTTTCATTATTTGCAGTCAGTCAGTGCTTTCAGTAATTCATTAGAGGCTTCACAAACTAGAGTAACAGTTATACAGAGTCGCATGCTTTTCATGTTAAGCAATGTTGGCAACAAATATATTTTCAGATTTTTATTAGTGTTTTCGCACTTGATTTATATCATTCAGACTTTCAGTATATCAACAAGTATTAGTTTATCTTCTGCATTCAGTATGCTATAATTTCACATGTTGATTCAATTAGCCAGTTGGTTCGTTCAGTCACATGTAGTCAGGCATCGGGTGCCGTGTTATGTCCATGCCTAAGTTCAGGGAGTGACATTTAGTATTTTTAATTCATGTATTACTAGTTTATGCATTTTTATTCCGTATTCTATCCCGCTATAAAATAATGCATAAGCTCCCACATGATTGTGGAGATGTATTATTTTGGAAGAATCCAAAAGTAATAACCAAACACTGAAAAATTAATGTTGAAATATATGCGGAGATTAAGTAGGCGTTTGGACATAAATTCCAAGATTTTTGTCAAAGTTGAAATTTCACTAAAATTTGATTTCAAGAAGAATTTGTGTTTGGTTATAATTTTTGTAACATATTTGGATGTACTTTTTTCAAAACCATGAAACATGATTTATACCCCACAATTTGTAAAAAATATCAAAACTACCCTGACTTGATAATCCTACTTGAAACAAACAATCAAACATGCTGATTGTTTAACTGTACGAACAATCTCTAATAGAAGTTGTAGTGGCTCCTTCAGGTAAAAGTATAAATTGTAGATATCAAAAGTGAATATCAAAATATAGTCCAAGGCCACTAAATTAGATGGTGGGTAGTTGTAGGTGTTACCTAAGTTTAATAACTGATTTGGGCCCTTTTTATAAATTTAAAAAATATAGGTAAATTTATAAAATTTAAAAATACCAACTTTCCAATTTTTCAATTGAAAAACTAGTTCTCGGCAGTTTTTCAAATTCGAAAATACATTTTCAAATTGGATTTGAAAAAATGTAAGATTTTCATAACCAAAAGTTGTTTTGAAATTATTTTTTTTGGAAAAAAGGAAAAAATTTCTTATGTCCAAACGGGCTCTAAATCTCCTCAAACCCAACCAAACGGCACTTAAGTGCAAAGAAAGTAGGTATCTTTGATGCCTACTATATCCTACTGTTTAAGTTTATGTGGGTATTTGATTTAGCATTGAGTTCAATATATATTTTTTTTATTAGTGATGCTAAATATAAATACAATTCTTAAGCAATAAAAATATTATTAATTCTAAAATAAATATTTAAAATTATACTATTACTTTTAACGGTAAAGGACATGATATACCCCTCTACGTTGTTTTATTATTCAATCATGTCCTCCGTTATACTTTCCGTTCAGATTTTTCCTCTGTCGTCCATCAAAATTCTAAATTTGCCCCTATTTTAACGGATGAGACACGTGGCACATTCCGAACAAAAAATTCATCCCCAATTTTAAAACCCGCCCCTCAATTCAGCCCATTACCCGACACCCATTCCAACTCACTTCTCTTCGGTGAAGATCAAAACTTAGTGGGCGTTTGGACGTAAGAATTGTAAAATTCCAAAAAAAAGGTAAAAAAAAATTTTCAAGTGAAAATGGTATTTGAAAATTAGAGTTATATTTGGACATGTATATAATTTTGAGTTGTTTTTAATTTTTTTGTGAGTGATTTTAGTGAAAATTTTGAAAAATAATTTTTGAAGTTTTTCAAATTTTCAAAAAAATTCATCTTCAAGTGAAAAATTGAAAATTCTACGGTGAAACATTGATTTCGAAAAACCACAAAACTCAATTCGTTAATTCAAATACTTTAGCATCCCCTCATCACGTCAAAACCAAGAAAATATGGAAGTAATGTGTATTTAATGAAAAGAAGAAAAATGGAAGGGGAAGAAGATGGTGAGGCGGCATGCCACGTGGCATCCATCTCACCCAAATGTCAGACCATGCAGGGTAAATTTAGACGGATAGTATAGCGGAGGACATATGCGAACAATTTTTAATAGTACATGGGTATATCTAACCCTTTTTCCTAAAATAAATAACATTAAGCTTTAACAATCCAACTTCAAGTAAAAGTTGTCAAACTACAAATGACGTATGTGTTAAAACTGCAGAAACGAAACATAAAACACAGAAGGTAAAATCTAGGCGAAAACAGAAGAAGAAAAACGAAAAAAAAGGAACCACATAAATGTCTTGCTAGAATTTTAATTAAAAATTAATAAGACAAAACTGAAAGTACATAACCAACCAATATGCCTAATTACAGAGGATGACTCTTCTACTATACATGCAATAATTAACTTCTTCTTTTTTTGTCGTTGTTGATTCGGGTGGGGTGGGG